GGGGAGGATGGGTGCTTGCTTATCCAGAGTGGTGCAGATCGTGGTCAAAGCGGCGGGAGCAAATGGGGGGGCGTGACCATCCTTATCTCGTCGCATTGATTGATAAGAACGCTCACGATACTTATTATACTCTGCTTACAGCGCCTGAGGTCCATCACGCTCCAAAGTGCCACGAGGGCTTGTCCCTGGCGACAGCACACCTGAGCTGTTCGCGTTCCATCAATAAACACTGCTTATCATCCGAGAGACCCTGCGGGGCTCGGCGCGCCTATAGAAGTGAGGATGAGGCCAGTGATGAGAGATAGCGCGATCCTTTGGGGGCTGGAGGGCGTGGCGGGCTTCCCAGAATGGTGAGTTTGACGCGCGCTTTAGCCGAGCTGCTGCCAGCTGCTGCTGCGGTGCATGCGCCAGCGCGCTCGTTGCTCCGGCGTTGACGCCGGCGCCTGCCTGTCGCGCACCCGAGCCGGGGATGTGGTTTGTTGTGGCCCAGTTGGCATGCCGACAGGCGCACAGCGATGGGTCAAGCTATTTTTGCATGTTTGCCTGGGTCATCGCCGCACCTTGCGTGTTGCGGTCGCCAGCCTGCACGCTCGCCCAAGTGCATCAGCGACCAAACCCGCCTGAGTCTGCGGCTGCTTGTGCTGCTCGCTTCTCACATGCGCCATGTAGCAGGCGTCCTGTGTTGCCGAATGTTCTGATTAATTTGTCTGCTGCCCCCCTCTTGGCCAGGTGGGACAGCCTCGAAAACAACCCCCAGCTGCAGCTGTACACCAATTATGGCATTGGCGCCGCCTATGGAGTGATCGCCCTGGTCGCGCTGGTGCGCGTCGGCAGGCCGCGCTCCACGTGCATGCGCATGCGCGCGTGCGCCCGTGCGCCGCGCTGCTTGCCAATCATCATCACCACATCAGCACTCGCTCCTCACGTGCTGCAATCGGGCCATGAGCATCCATCCAACCCGCGAGCGCCCAGCCGCACCATCCACGCCTCTCGCCCCTTGCTCGCTCGCCCTGTCCCCTCTCCGATGACACCTTCATGTTGGGACTCCGACCCCATGTTTGTTCCTGCATTCGACAGGTCCAGCTGGTCCGCATCCAGCTGCGCGTCCCAGAGTACGGCTGGACCACCCAGAAAGTGTTCCACCTGCTCAACGGCCTCGTCAGCGGCCTGCGCTGCGCCAGCTTCCTGGCGCGCCCCCAGATGGACGCGCTGCACCCGGACGTGCTGCGGCTGGTGCTGTACGACCTGCCAGGTGGGGTGTTGATTGGTTTTGAGTGAGGGTTTGTGGCTTCCTTCCGCACGGGCATTATGAATCAATTCGGGAAGCTGTGTGGTGAAGCACGCCAAGCATGTGCGAGGGACGCCGCATCCCCTGCGTTCTGGGCGGCTATTACCATAAAGCGACGGCAGGCGCGCAGCGCCCCTTCTTCCTCGCAACACGGCTTGCGTCCTGGGGCCTGGCCTTACCGCATGCCCTTCATCAGCTGTCAGGCTCTGCCGCCCCTGGGTCAAACCCTCCTGAACCCACCCCTGCACTCCAGGCCTGCTGTTCTTCTCCACTTACACGCTGCTGGTGCTGTTCTGGGCCGAGATCTACCACCAGGCCCGCAGCATGCCGACGGGGTCGCTGCGGCCGCTGTTTGTGGTGTTCAACGCCCTCGTCTACGCGGTGCAGGTGCGGCGGCCGCGCCGGCGCGCGCGCGCGAAGCGTGCCGCAACGCTTGCCCTTGCAAACACAGCCGGCGACGGCCGCTCAACCGCCTGACCCCCTGCGGATGCTCACCGCGCATTCCTCGTCATACTTGGCCTCACACCCACTCAGCATGCACACCCACGCGCCGACCCCGCACAACCTGCTGCCCAACGAACAGGCCGGCTTGTGGACCTACGAGAGCATGGCCGTGGGCGACGCCCAGGCGCGCGTCAGCCACGTGCTGAGCGCGGGCTTCCTCGCGGCGGTGTCGCTGGCGGCGGCGGTGGGCTTCCTGCTTTACGGCGGCCGCCTGTTCCTGATGCTGCAGCGGTTCCCGATTGAGAGCCGGGGCCGCAAGAAGAAGCTGCGGGAGGTCGGCATGGTCACCACCATATGCGCTGCGTGCTTCACGCTCAGGTGGGG